TCCAGACAAACTCTTCCTTTTTGCAGAACAGTAATAATAAATAAATATTTAAAATGCTGTCGGAGAAGTCGTAACACCCTCCACCTCATTCTCCCCCAACCCCTACAGGGTAAGTGCCTGTGAATCGGCACTGGGCTTCCTCTGCTCGAGAAAGCTTGCAGAGAAGGGGGACAGGCTTTATAAAGGCTGCAGGGTGGGTTTTTTCAGGGTCTCCGGAGATACGTCTAACTTGCATAAAATAGCAGATTGCAACTACCCTCTTAATACTAGCAATCCGTGAGCTAGTCACAGGAGAGCGGAAAGGACATCAAAATGCAAGGTTTGCCCATGAGTGAGGTCAGCCAGCCTCCCCTCAAAAAAGTTAGTTTTATTTAAAAAGTTAAAGAAAGGAAAGAAACGGTGTTCGAAGTTCCGTTTTCACAACGAAGTATATATACATTTTAAAAAACCATCACTCAGCAAAACACACCGAAGCTTCCAAAGTGCTTTTCTTCCCCAGAGAAATCACCTGAAACTAAATTGGGAGCGCTGCTCTCGGTTCTCCTCCTCCTTTGCCTCCAATAAAACTCCCCGGAGTGCAAGCAGAGTTCACTCCAAAGGCCACAAAACTCGAGACAGCACCTTGCATGCTCAGATCTGCAGAGTTTTCCAGCTATTACTGGTATCCAACACAGATGCTGCTAGATGAGGGCTTGCTGGTACCCTCCCGGAGCCCTTTCAAAGCACTGAAGGTGTTTACAAAGCATTTGGATTCCGGCATGGGCTTCCTTCATCTGCCTTTCACTGTATAACTCACCAGAAAAAGCACTTCAGAGCATAAGCATGCTATAACTTGATAAAGCGCAAGCTACCTTGGAGCACGACTAGCCAAAAATTAACTCATAAAAGAACAATTTATGACCATAGTGGTTTAAAAAAAACAAACAAACAAACAAAAAATCAATTATAAAAAAGTTTGGTTTAACTTTAAAACAAGTCCATGGATACCCTGCTTTTATTACTGACCCTGCAAAACAAAGCTGATTCTTTTTTCAATAGTGACGCAAAACATTTTATATATATATATATATTTATCTATCATAATTTATATATTACAGGTTTACCCACTTGCAAAACAACCATTTTCCCTGGCAATATCAGTATTAAGAATCTTTTAAACACTTTAGATCCTGCTCAACATACAAAAATAAATATTGCATACATGATTTCCGAGCAAAACAAGCAACACAGGTCACCAAAATACAGCTGTAGCTAGTAACAGTCCACACTCCACAGTGGGAGTGCATTAAATAAAATAACAGAAGCTCTTCAGGATCAACCCTCTCTCACGCTGTAGGATTGGGTGCCAAAATATGAAAATATGTAAAGCCCCGAAACCCGGCTCGGCAGGACCCGCATCTCGACCTGGACACCCACTAGCTCTCCATACGCCTTCCTCCTCCCAAGAGAGGGTCAAGGACCGCACACCCACCTCCCCCTCTAATTATGCTTCAGCAACAGAGTTTTTAGAGTTTTTCTGGTTCGGTTTGTAAACCCAAGTGATCTTCTGCACGTCCCAGTGTGTGTTGTTACGGGGGTGGCTCTTCATGCTGCTGGTGGACAACCTCGGGGGACGCATCTGTGCGCGACGCTGGCCTGATCCAAGCTGCTGCTGCTCCCTTGACCCCATCCCTTCCAGCTACTGCTGCCTTGCTACAAACTCCTGCCCTCTCCGAGAGGAGGAGGAGATGTGGGGAGACTGCAAAGACGTACTGACTATATATTATTTACCGTATGTTCTCAAAACAGGTTAACAAGACACCGGAGTTAGTGCTCTGACAAATTATAACAAGAAAGTTTCAAAGGAGTAAGTGATGATACTAGCAGCTGGCAGTGACATAGTAGTTTTAAATAACATTTCTTCACGGAGAAAAGACAGACATTAAGAAAAGCGTATGCGTCGGTCTCAGGCATGGATTCTGGGAACATTTTGCATGAGTTTCTTCAGAAAGCAGTAGAGAAACGTGTGATGGTTTTAGCCCCTTCAAATGCGTCTACGTCCCAGGCTCACCAGTTCATCATTAACAAGAAATCAGGAGGAAAATCAGTCTTTCAAAGACAACTCCCAAGCGCAGGCTCCCTAGGGAGCGGTTGAACGTTCATGCAGATGTTCTCAGCCAGCTCAGCTGTCCGGACCCACCACGCGTGGCAGCGTGACCCAGTGCTGTGACATCAACCCCAACCAGAGACACGCCGTTGTCAGCAGGACGGGATGTGAAAGTCTCTGTGTTTTGTTGAGGGGGGAGAGGGTTGTAAATACGGCGTCTGTTGTGTTCCTTGGTAGCGGCAAGTTGCAGATGCTTCCTTCGCAGCAGGAGGTGCAGATCTGAAAGAAACCAGGTGTTAACTCGGCTTCTTGAAAAATACCACTGCCATTGAATAAAGACGTAGGGGAAATAATACGACACGTTTCCCCCCCCCCCTCTTTCTCCCCACCCCTTTTTTTTAAATCCATCTACTCAGAGAACAATTGCACCTGCACAGGAACAGTACGTTGGCTGGTGCGAGGAGGACACCATCCATTTTGAAGAGGTTATTTTCTTTTCTGCCCCAAAAAAGTAAACTGATGAAAACCAGTGCTGTTTGGTTGAAGTAGAGCTCACAAGCCAGAACTAAAAGAAATCAGTATTTACTCGTATGTTTTTTTTGTTGTTGTTGCCTATCACCTAGTGTGCAGGCACTGGAGAGATAGACAATTCCTGTATCAGCCCATAAGGACATGCAGCTCTGCCTTCTCAGGGCTAGGAAGGGCCAGTTACAGTACCCTGCCAGGGCACAGAGATTTGGAATTACAGAACAGTTTGGGTTGGAAGGCACCTCTGAAGGCCATCTAGTCCAACCCCCCTGCCGTGGGCAGGGACATCTTCAACTAGAGCAGGTTGCTCAGAGCCCCGTCCAGCCTGACCTGGAATGTTTCCAGGGATGGGGCATCCACCACCTCTCTGGGCAACCTGGGCCAGTGCTTCACCACCCTCAGCATAAACAATTTCTTCCTTATATCTGGTCTGAATCTCCCCCCCTTTAGTTTCAAGCCATTCCCCCTTGGCCTGTCGCAACAGGCCCTGCTCAAAAGTTTGCCCCCATCTTTTTTAGAAGCCCCCTTGAAGTACTGACAGGCTGCAAGAAGGTCTCCCCGGAGCCTTCTCCTCTCCAGGCTGAACAACCCCAACTCTCTCAGCCTTTCTTCACAGCAGAGGTGTTCCATCCCCCTGATCATTTTCGTGGCCCTCCTCTGGACCCACTCCAACAGGTCCGTGTCTTTCTTATGCTGAGGGATCCAGAGCTGGACGCAGTGCTCCAGGGGGGGTCTCCCCAGAGCAGAGGAGAGGGGCAGAATCCCCTCCCTCGACCTGCTGGCCACGCTGCTTTGGATGCAGCCCAGGAGACGATCGGCCTTCTGGGCTGCGAGCGCACATTGCTGGCTCATGTCCAGCTTTTCCTCCACCAGTACCCCCAAGTCCTTCTCGGCAGGGCTGCTCTCCATCCCTTCATCCCCCAGCCTGGATTGATACCGGGGGTTGCCCCGACCCAGGTGCAGGACCTTGCACTTGGCCTTCTTAAACCTCATGGGGTTCACACGGGCCCACTTCTCCAGCTTGCCCAGGTCCCTCTGGATGGCATCCCGTCCCTCTGGCGTGTCGACCGCACCACTCAGCTTGGTGTCATCTCCAAATTTGCTGAGGGTGCGCTCGATCCCACTGTCTATGTCATTGATGAAGATATTAAACAGTACCGGTCCCAAAATGGACCCCTGCGGGACACCACTCGTCACCGATCTCCATCTGGACACTGAGCCGTTGACCACCACCCTCTGGATGCGACCATCCAACCAATTCCTCACCCAGCTCAGAGCAACAAGACTAACACGCCCGAGGCCAAGAGAGCATAAAATTATGTGCAAAACAGGGATGGGACTGCAGCGTGCCTGGCAGCTCAGAAAGCTCTTTTATTTCAACCTGTTGAAGTTCAAAAAGGTCAACTATTGACCTTCAGAAAAATCTTCAATAAATAGCTGTTTGATTCAGATATAAAGGGTCTGCTCTGAAGGTTTCGGGGCTTTCCCCTACCCGTTTCAGTAAGAAAACCAAGAGATGGCTGGTGAGCATCCGTCACAGAGCAGAGGGGAGCAAACACGGTGCAGTACTGCAGGCAAAGCGCTCCGCAGCCAGAAGGGAGTGGTTTGCTCCCCTGAGCTGCTGGCAGGAGAGTTATTTAAAGAGATTATTCCTTTGTTCTGGGAGAGGTTATTCCTTTGTTTCTGTAACAAACGGAAATGAGCTGGAGCTTGTTAAGAAGAGAAATTTCATTTTTCATGACGCTGATTTACCCACCGAACCAGTCAGACTTCTGGTGGAGGCCAGAAGGATTCTGCCTAGTTTTCCTATGAGAAAAAGGCAATTTTTATCCTATACCTTGTATTCTTCATGCTTTACATAGGTGCATCCCGTAGACAGACAGTCCTCTAATGGTACACAGCGTTTGGTGACGGATACACTTTCTCCAGTAACTTTCATCATGTGTTGGCTAAAGCAGTATCTTGTACCTAGAAAGACAGGAAAATGTGTTTACCTGTCAAATTCAAGTTTTGTGACGGTCTACAAATAGGAAGAAATAGGAAAGAAGTCTTAGATTTTTTTTCAAATCTTGGGATTTAAAAAAAAGAGAGTTTTGATGTATTTATTGCAATACATAATGTCACTAAATACACACACCCACACCCCAAGCTCTGGCGCAAACCTGAGGTTTCAAAGCACTCTGGAACACGGAGATTTGTTTCCAACACTAGTGTGGGTCTATATGTTACAGATAAAGAAACGTACGTTGGACAATCAAGGTACGGAGGGAGGTTCAGATAAACACCCCAAATCTTGTGCACTGTTGGTTTTATAGGAATTGTCTTTAAAAAAAGAAAACATTCACAATACCTGTGTATGTCGGAAGCTAACTTTCATTCGTGTAGGTTTAATTTTTTCCTAGCTTCATGCACAACCATTAATTCTGCAGACCGACCTACAGCGTTACACATTGGAGATGCCGTTCCCTATATCCTAACGGCTCGTGCCAGCTCTCCTCGCTGCTCGCGCTCTGACCCCGGCTCTCCCACGGCTTCTGCGAGGCCCAGAGAAGATCCTTCACCCTCTCTGTCCCTCAGTTTTATCATCTATAAACTAATGCCAAAAGACCGACGGAACAGCTGGGAGGATTTCTGCATTTCTCAGTTTCCCGGTCTTTGGAAAAGGCACCATAAAATGGGCTCTGTCCCCGGTATTCCCATCGCATCTTCTGCACGCTTCTCCTGTGGGCTCCCTTGTCCCCAAAGGAGACCATCCTCCTCCTCCTCCTCCTCCTCCTCCTCCTTTTCCAAGCTACTCCTCTAGAGACAACTGTAAAACGCACAGAAAATTCAAAGCAGGATGACTGACAAATGCTGTGGTTATCCTCAGGCGTAAAGGAATTTGGATTTATGTCATGCTTTAGTCATCAGAGGGAAGCTGAAGGTGCTGTTCCCCCACCCAGCACTCCAAGATGAACACACTGGATTTTCAACAGAGGAAACATGCCATTATATATTTCTTCTCTAAATTATACCTTGCTTATTAATCAACCTTATTACTAATAAAATTGTGGCTTTCACAGGGGGAATAAAAGGAGTGTAATTAATTTAAAGCGAACATTCCTGTTCAGCTCTCATCTCCGATGGCAAAGCCCTGCATACTTCTCATGTTTTAGGCATTCGGCGACAGCCGAGCGAGATTGCCGACCGAACACGTTCTTCATTAGGCAATAAAACCCCTCAGACGTCTGTCACATCTTTGACCTGCTCTTAACTCAAGTGTGATATCCACAGCAAACAGACTTAACTTATCACCAGAGGCTGGAGATGCTCGGTGTGCTGTCTTCCTTCAAACCGGCCAGGGCTGCAAGACGCAGCTTTTAACGCGTTTTCCAGGCTCTCCTGCCCCAGGGGGTGGAGCTCACAGTTTTACCCCAAGGGGTGCACTCTCTGCACGACGGCTTTGAGCTTCTCCCAGGACCTTGCCTGGAAGTGCCATTCCCCAGCAAATCTGGGCGTGCCTCACGGGAGCTTTATTTCTCCTGCGATGGCTCTCTGCAGCGGAGCTCGCCCCTGACAGGTCCCAGATGGAACAAATAAAAATTCTCGCACCCCATAACTCTTTTAAGGCTGTTTCATTCTTTCTTCCAAGTGTGGTTTTAGAAAATATTGTGCAATCATCTTGGAGATACGTATTTTCCCCTGCGCAGAGGGACCAAGCATGCCTCTCCTCGTACAGCCATCGCTGATGGCTAGCATCTCCTGCAAGGTAGGGCTGCAGCTACGGGGTAAGTCCACACTAAGCAACAAAATCCACTCACTCAGATTAATATTAACTTTTGCGCTGCATTCCGGTCTGCCTCTCTTCTCAGAGCAGGCTAAGCGCAATGATGACAGGCGCTATGAGAAGGATTGGGCCAGAGAGCACCAGGAGAGCCCAGAGCAAAGCAGAGGTGGGGAGCATCACCACGGTGGGGGACATTAACTGCTCTGCAGATAGGGAGGCTGCCGGCCGGCGGGATGGAAGAGGAACTCTAAGCTGACCCCGTGAAGAACGCAGGCCCAACGCTATAAAAACGTTACCAAAAATAACGGAGACATTCAGAGCGATTCAAGTGAGACATTGCAGCATGAAAGTTGATGCTCCTAAGTAGGGCGGTGCCCAAGCCAGGCAGCATGCTGTACGGCCACAGGGTAAGGATGGGTCTCGGTGGTATTGTATCAAAAAACCCATAGATTTATGTTTCCTAAATTTGGCGGTTCCAGAGTGTCCTTAAAGGCACTTGAGAGCCAGGCTGATCGTGGTGCAGTACGCAGGCTGTCCAGCAACACATTCCATTACAAAAGCATTTGAAAATGAGGTGGTTGCTCCATGTGATTATTTGGGGGATTTTCAGGGCTGTTGATTTACACTGAGCCCCGGCGCGACAGGTGACACCGTCTCCTTTTGCATTTTTCCTTCCTCTGGTGGAACTGTCTTGCAAAGGCTGCATGACGTGCTTCAGCTACGAGGTATCTCCAAACACCTATATACCACAGACAGCCTCAGTCTCGACCTGCCAGGAGTGATGCTGACCTACAGCAGCATCACCCAACGGCTGAAACGCACGTTCTCCATGGGGTCCACCTCCTGGGCACCCTCTTATGCCCTTAAAGGGAGCATGAATGAAGGAACCAGCTATTGAAACCAGAAGTCATGGTGCATCCAGCCAGCCAGGCTAAGTGTGAGCAAACCACCCCCACATGTTGAGACCCAGCAAGGCTGGTATGTGTCTCCAGTAGGAGAAAATCGTCCTCTCTGCTTTGAAGTGGGTAGGGAAACACTGAATCTGGCATTTCAAAGGGCCCAGAGTCACATGTTGACTTTGAGAGCCCGTTTCCCAAACCGCAGCCTCTTAACAGCGCTTTCAGGTGCCACCTGCAGTGGCTGGATCATCAACCGTGGTGGTGGTGGCCATCACCGAGATGTCAGCCCTCCCACAGGCCGTCCAAAAATAGAGTACTGGGAGCATATTGAGTGCAGTATTTCCATACAAATTAGATCACTAACACAGTTTCTGCTTGAGCTGAAGCTAATAAATAACAGAAAACAAGGTTAATGCACAGCAGGAGGCCTGCCTTCTAGGAAATGCTTTTTCTAATCTCTGTTCAATACAGGGATTCATGTTTTTACTCTCCATTATAATGAATTTTGTTATACACAAAATATGGTTCCCTTTAAGTCCTACATTATAGTTAATGAAAAGATTTTGTTTTGCTTGGGTTTAATAGCATTCTGTCTTTAAAAAAAAAAATAATTATAGCAAATACCGGGATGGAGTTTTCTCATTTTCTCCCACCACTTAACCCAAGCAAACCAACACAGGTTCGGATCACTGCAGCGATGGCGGCAACGCCATAAGCATACCCCTCTGACTCCCAGAGATAAGGCGATTACCTGAGCGGATAACCCCAGCCCCCAGAGCACACCTGGAGTCACGCCTCAAACCTGAGCTTGCGTTTCTGCGGCTTCCTTACACGAACTCAACGTCACATTTGAAAACTACAGCAACGAAGAAAAAAGCTGGCTTAATAAAAGCCTTCTGATGTGGAGGGGTATTGGATGTAAAGCTGAGACGCCAACAAAAGCCCTCGGTGATGAGGCATCCCGAAGCAACGGCCGATTTCTGCAGAGTGGGGAGCAATGACATTACCAGCTTTGCCTCCACTGCACAGAATAAGGACAGAGCATTTATAAGCCATAGCGCCCATCCCCAGTCGTCTGAAACACAGCGACTGCTGACTCAGCAGTGGAGGCCCTGGTCTCGCCCAAAAGCCGTCAGCGAGGGGCTGGGGGTCCGTGCCGCAGGCGGAGCTGTGCCCCAGCCCCAAGGCACGCCATGTCGGGGCAGTCTGGGCGCTAACACGCTCTGCCTGGAGTAAAGCGCTATCGAACCCCTCCATTTTAAGGAGATCAGAAGTCCTCTGTTCTGAAGATTGGAGATAGACTCAGATTTCCAGCTAGCCCCTTAGAATCATAGAATCATAGAATCATTAAGGTTGGAAGAGACCTCCAAGATCATCGAGTCCAACCGTCAACCCAACACCCCCATGCCCACTAAACCATGTCCCTAAGCGCCTCATCTACCCGTCTTTTAAATACTTCCAGGGATGGTGACTCAACCACTTCCCTGGGCAGCCTGTTCCAATGTTTAACTACTCTTTCAGTAAAGAAATTTTTCCTTACATCCAATCTAAACCTCCCCTGGCGCAACTTGAGGCCATTTCCTCTCGTCCTTTCGCCAGTTTCTTGGGAGAAGAGACCAACACCCACCTCGCTACAACCTCCTTTCAGGTAGTTGTAGAGAGCGATGAGGTCTCCCCTCAGCCTCCTTTTCTCCAGGCTAAACAACCCCAGCTCCCTCAGCCGCTCCTCATAAGACTTGTTCTCCAGACCCCTCACCAGCCTTGTTGCCCTTCTCTGGACACGCTCCAACATCTCGACGTCCTTCTTGTAGTGAGGGGCCCAAAACTGAACACAGTATTCGAGGTGCAAATCGAATACTTCTCGTGGCTAAAACCCCATCCTTACTTCACGGACAGCGGGTGTTTGTACCGGCAGGCAGGAGGGCCGGTGACCATTCCTAGCAGCTCTGGTCTGGTTGAACACAGCTGATGAGTTACAGACGCACCAAAGCACGGTTTTCCCCTCCCCTAAACAGCCATTAAGTACTAACTGCTCTTTCCAGACCAGCATTTTTGGGGGTCAAGTCATTTCTGCTGGTTGTTACTAAAGGCAGACCTTGGAGTCACACCTCCCTCCTTGCACAGCGATCTGCAGGTAACACTGTCCTTAGTCCTTTAAATACCACCTACTCCTGTCAAAGCAGGGAGCGTCCGTGAATATTGGTCTCATCTGATGCCAGCCAGCCTGATCTCTTTTATCGTTGTTGATGTTTTGCTGGTTTGAGCTCAAAGCAAATAAATCCTCGGACAGATAACGCGCTCTGACACAGGCTGCAAACACAGCTGGTTCGTCCCTGCCATGCAGGTCATGGTCGTTATCTTTCCAAAATAAATATTTTCTGAGGGCACTTGTAACGTCCCACAACAGACATTCCGGATAGATGCTGAACAGCGCTGCCGAGCCTGCAGAAAGCACCAGGGGAGCGGCGAGCCCCAGCAGCATCCCTCTGCCCGCGCGGCCCCGGCCGCCCGCAGGCATGCAGCCTCCCCCGCCCCGCGCGGCCCCGGCTGCCACGAGGGCTGCCTCCTGCCCGCGCGTGGTTCCCACGCTGGTGAGGACACAGTCCACGTCCAACCCGTCGCCAGGGCTTCGTCAGGGGCTGTGGACGATCTTAATGCTTGTGAGTGTCTCAAAAAGAGAAGCGGTAAGGGAGGGGGAGATCTGAGGGTCTCACCGATACCTGGATCCGGTATTTGGGTGCCTGTATCCCAAAGCCCTTTCTGAGCCGTTCCCAACTTCAGACTCCGATGGGAGTTATGAGCCCAAAAGACTGAAAATATCTTGATGCCAGCCGAAAAGAGGCAGCCTTGGCTGCCCTGGAGCGTGGGCTTGTGCCATAGGGCAGGGAAGCGAACAAAGCAAGAACCGGTCCCGTACTCAGCAGTAAGAGAAATACAACCCTTAAATAAACGTCAGCCTAATTTAATTTCCAGCTGAGCTAGAGGAGTACGGGGAGTAGACGAAAGGCTTAAACTTCATCCACTGCAAAGAGACAGAAAAGCTTAAAGGATTACTCGTATCGCTTACATATCTTTCTTGTTGAGGAGGCTTACAAGCGGGAGCAGCAATCACCAGCATCCGAGTACACGCAGGGAATAATGGGGGCTCAGTGCTGTCCCTGCGGCGGGGACAGCAAGCGGGTGTCGTAAGGTGGGTTTAAATTAAACGCTAGCACGCGGCTGGTTACCTCTTGGGCAATAGACATCCGGAGCCCATCGGTTGCATTCGTAATTGTCTGCTGCCTTTTCGCAGGTGAAACATTTAAATCCGTGAGGATACGGTGTGGCTGAAAGGAACAGACAATATTCAGTTAAAATGAGCCAATTAATCTGGTTCTACTAGGCTTTTCAGAGGCACACAGCAGCGTTTGTTCTCTTTAGACACATCTTTCTGCAAGTGTACCTGTCAACTTCATCAAGTTGGTCCCCATTTGTAAAAATCCTGTCCCCAGTAGCGGTGCGGGAAAGGCACACACAGACACAATAAGGACTCAGTTCAACCCTGTTTACCTAGCAAAAGTGCCCACTGCTGACTTCAAAGGGAGTTAATGTGAGCAAGGAGTACTTATCCTCCTGGTATCAGAGCTCACATCCAATACTGCTACTTTATCAGTGCCGATAACACAATATCAGATGGATTAAAATACTTCTGGAAACTGTCCCACCGAGGAAACGAGCTACCCCTTTTGAAGGCAGGCTGATGTCCCAAAGGAAAGAAAAATCAATTTGCTGAACCTCCAGTTTTTAACAGCAGACTCCGTCCTAATTTATCTCGCCAAATGAAGAGTGTAACTTCTTAAGTGGTCTCCTGGCAGGGCTTCTGTAGCACATTCAATACATCTTCAAGATGCTGCCACCTTCTCAGAAGCCAAATGGTGAATGGGTCACGTTTATCTCCACAGGGCGAAGCAAGCTGAACCTCCGCAGCCCCGCAGGCCACATCCCTCCTCTTCACCTTGCCCACCGGCTCTGGGCCGGACCCCGTTTGGGTACGAGAGGTGAAGCAAAAGGCATTCACTGCTTGTTTCCCCAGGCTCCTCTGGGTAAGGGCCAGCAGGTCACCTGGGAGCATCTCTGGTGGGGCTGGTGCTGCCCTCAAGGAACAGCTTGGGGTGAGACAACACAACAGCACTAATTAAATTCACCCCTCTCACCCTGGACCTCTAGCAGGTCGTGGTTACGGCACAGAACAGGAATTTCATCTTGCTTGTACAGAATGTAAATTTTCCAGCCGAATTTGGACAGGCGGTGAGTTTTCTCTGGGAATAGATGGCAGGAACAGCTCTCTTCTTCTAGAATTAAGTAAGTTTGTATCTGATGAAGTGAACAGACTAGTGAAAGGAGAGTCCCTGGAAGATGTAAAGGTGGATAACTCTGCTACAGCATTGCTTCAGGGAGTTACCGAAATAAAGTCAGGAGCACTTGGTGCCACAGCCGCAAATGGTTGCGTTTGGCCCTTGCTCGCGGCTGTCGATGTGCTCGGGCAAACCGCGTGGCAGGGGGCCTTGGTCTTACGGCCAGAGAGATTACTGAGGAACAGCAAATAGCGAACAAAAAGCTCCTGACATGCTCAGCGACTGCCTGTAACCCTATCTGTCCTTTAATCCCTTTGGGAGGCGACGATCTGGTTTTATATCAACTAGTTTTATGAGTACTGGGGATATTTATTTAATCTTTGCTCAGCACTCAGCTCAACCCCGGTGTTTCTGCTGCCTTAACACGCGTTCGCCCTCGTCCTTACCCCCGCGCCGTGGCCGGCCGTGGCTTTGCAGCCCGCGCGAAGGTGGCTTACTGGAAGGGTGGAGGTAGATGATGTCCTTCACGGTGAAGTCCCTGGGCTGCACGGCGGGCAGGCAGCCGGCCAGCAGGCTGAGCAGCAGCACCCATGCCGGCGCGGGCGGCAATCGCCGGCGAAATCCGTACTCATGCGGCGGCCGAAAAAACCTCACCTGGGCGATAGCAGAGAACAGGGGTGAGCAGAGCAAAACCGCGAGGAGCCCGGCCACCGCCTCGGCCAAAACCACGATGCCCCCAGGAACCTTCAGCTGCCCTCCCACGGGGGCAGGCAGTGGTGTCGTTACGTTGGCTCGGCTTCAGAAACATCCCTGGCACCGCCTGGGAAAAGGACTCGGGCAAACCCCCCTCCCAGCCAGAGAGCTGCAAACGGGAGCTGAGGGGAAGGGCGGTCGGGTTTGTCACCGTTTACAATTTAACCGGTCGGCGACTGGTTTTCAAAAACCTCAGGAGGATGTTGATAAAGTCATCGGAGACTGCCCTGCGACGGGATTTAACTGCTTCTTTTAGAGAACACTGGAGTATCGCAGAATTAGACCAGGAAGAAAGGAAACAGGGTAGCTGGAGACCTGTCGGGATGCCCGGGGGAGCAGCAACGGGTCTCCCACACCCACACTCCAACACAGGCTCACACCCTTCTAAAATGCACCTTTTCGGCAAACCAGAAGCTCCGCATTACTTTCCACATATCTCAGGAAAGGCGAGGAGCTCCAGCTGCTGCAGGCTGTCTCTAACTTCAGCCGGTTGCTGTTAATAACGTAAGGTGATTATTGCATTTTCCCCATCCGTGCTCCAAAAGGTCTTATTCCCTCTGTGACGCTGTGACAAACGACGCAGCGTATTTTTCCCATGTGCCTGAATGAAGGGAACTAATTGAAGCAGAAACAAATACCCGCTGCGGCACCACTCGTGAAGCCGGTCCCCAAAACCAGCAGCTTTCAGGAGCATCCCAGTCCCTGTGCACGGGCTGCGGGGAGCCCTCCAGGAACAGACAACGCTAACGCATCGCTAAATGCACAGCTCATATTATTACAGTTCCTTAAAACTGATGAAGACGTGCCTCAAAAACCGAGCGGGACAGGAAAGCCCTGAGAGGACGCGGCTGCCGAGCCAGGCAGGAGCCGCCGGTTTCCCCTGGCCGCTGGCATCCCTCCAGCACACACAGGGTTGGGGTTTTTTCTTTTCCACCCAGACTGACCAAGAGATCTGCAATACTCAGCTATTTATTTCCTAAGCAACTTCGAAAGCGTGGCAGCTATTACTTAATAAATCAACTTTTGGGGTTTTTTTTCAGGTAAGATGTTCCCGGGGCAGGGGCGTAACCTTCCACGTCTGCCTCCCAACGTTTGTCTCGCAGCAGGGACCCACACAGGACTGGCAGCACGATGGCCCTCGGGGCGGCTGTCGTTATCCTCGGCTTTTATCTGGAAACAGCCCTTTTATTAAAGCACCGGGAAATCCGTAAAAATAGCGAGGGAAACAGATAGCACACAACGTGGTGCATTAAACTTTGTTGTTTTAACCTTATGAAGAGGGAAATGCCAATTTCCATTTGCTTTACTCCACAGATGCGTTATCAGCCAGGGGAAAAATGAAGCCCTGATTAGAAGCAGAAAGGAAAAAAAACAAGCCTCTCCCAGCCACGTGAAAGACAAAAGAAACGGGACCGGCGGCTCTCTGTGGGGTCTGGAGGAAGAGTCCCCAGCAAAGCCAGCTGGAGCCCACCTCGGCGAGGGAGCCGGGTACGTGCGTGGATTTAGGACCATTCACGTTTTTGAGTTCCTCATGGCTAAATACACACAGACCTGGAGCTGAGCCGGCCAGATGCCGACACTGTCCTGGTGGTCCTGAGCCGAGGACAACGGGAGCCATCAGCTGCACAAGCAACGGCACCGGGTAGACACGCTCCAGTCCGGGAGCGTTTGCTTTCAGGGCACGTATCTGCACGTAACACAAGTCACAGGCGATGCTCAGCACAAGGAAACAAGATGCACTGGGACTCCTGAGCCGAGTCTCTCCTTTCCTATCCAAGAGGAGACCTGTCCATCACCGCACGCACGTCAGCCTCTCTGCTCACTGCTTGACCAGAGCCACTCAACGGCGACTGGGTTTCACATGTGGAAATTGCTTAATATTCATATTGTTAAGATAATGAAGGTTTGGAGGAGAGAGGGGGGTTTGGATTATTTGTTAGCCCAAACAAAGCAAGGCAGATTTTACAAGCCCCATGATTCATTTCAAGAAATCAGCAGTTTGCAGTGAAACTCTTTGTCGGTTCACACGGTCTCAGCAGCAATCCTGCGTTACGGTACAAAAAAAAAATTAGGACCCCCATCCCAAAGAGAGGGGCTCCTCATAGCTCAACACAAACTCTCAGCAGCAACCTGTGATCAACGTATGTTATCAACATGAAGGACAAACAGCAATATTTTAAGTAAAAGCACAGCAAGATTAAAATAATGGCAAGAATTCCTCCCAAGTATAATAAGAAATTAATTTGTTGGGTTTTCTCATCACAATCACAAAAAGCGCTTGCATTTACAGCACTGGTCGAAGCCTTCCAGTTGAGGACACCAGTTTTCCCTCTATCACACACGCTCCCTCTTATGGGACCAATTGCTTATTCAGCCCGTCTCCAAATGTCTGTGCGTAGCTGTTAGTACTTGCCTCCTCTTCAGATTCAGAAGACAAGCGGCTGTTAGTCCTGCCTGCAAGGGTGGCAGAAATCCTCCAGCTGCACGCTAAAAATACTCACATCGTGCCTCTTGTAATTACAAGTAGCTTAATTGCCAACGCCACTCCTAATGAGCTGCAAGAACCACAAATGAATATATAGAATTCACTTCCCCCCCTCTACTTTATGCGTTTGAAGCAGATTTAATTACAGGTAAGGAATTAAAATTAAAAAAACCCCTCTGTGTTACAAAACAATCCTGAGCAGACCAGAGCAAGGCCAGCCTGGCCGCTGTTTTGAACCACGGCAGTTACGGGAGCAGAAAGTATTTATCGAACAAAACACCGGCCACCGTTACAGTCACTGCTCTTCACAGCAGGCATGTTCCACCCGGTCATTTCATACACGCAGAGATAGTATAAAAATGGATACTTCTGCGTAGATAGAACTACCTACTGTCACAAAGCCGAATACTCAATATTTCACAAATATTTTGAGTATGTACACACGGGTACCCATAGTTCTGCCTTTCACGGGGGGCAAAATACATGTACAAATATACTACATCCGATTGAGAAAATACTCGGTGATGTTTGAGGTAATACTGATATTTCACAGAGAGTGGAATATCAAAAACTATTTTGAAGAAAATCAAACATATTCAATAATTACTGTTCGGCACAGTAATTCTGTGAGCACACCCATTCTCTCTGTTTTTACACCCGCACATAAAAATAAAATGCAATCATCGCTTTTTTGTTTTTAAAGGAAGGGTATATATATATATGGATGCACTGTCTTAAAACCCGCAGACATTTTTGACAAAAAATTGTTTTCGGTTACACTCTTTTCCCCCAAAATCATCCAAAACAACATTTTTCGCCAAAGATGGCTTCTCTTCATGAAGCCTGTAAGCCCGAAGAAGCTTCATCGAGGGCACGGAGCCTTCTTCTTTCGCTCACAAGCCCCTTTTAGTTCATGGCTTTCAGCCAAAACCGCCAAACGTTGCACGAAAATATTTTTTTCAAGCCGTGTTTGCTGACATATCAGCCACTCCAGCGCTAGACCGCTGCTCGCCGAACAGGCTGGCTCTCCAGCGTACGGGCACGCGGTTTTTTTCCTTCTGAATTAACTCGGCTCCTTTCCAGAGGTAGCAGCCCCCTCGTGCACGGCAGCGTGCGTGCACCGACCTAATAGAAATGGCACGGCCCGCTCCAAATTCGATACCGGACTGCAGTTAGGGGAAATAGCCACATGGTATTTAGATCATACAGTCTGTTTATAAAAGGTCTTGGGTGCCGACGCAGAAATCCTAGTTAACTCAATCTTTCCAGCTTCACCAGCGCCTTTCAGACGGAAAGGCATCCCCATCCCCGCTCTGCAGCAGGATTACTCCTTCCTGCCCTTTGCCCTGACATGGCGCTACGGAAATTAACCATTAAATTCCCTAAGCGGCAGCCCAATTGCCCGTTTGTCAGGTCTCGTTAGGGTGGCGACATGTCGTCCTCGCTGTCACCGGCACCGGGGACAATGGAAGGTCCCCGTCCTCCAAGGAAGGACCGGGGAGCCCTCAAGGAGAAGTGCTGCCAAGCATCAGACCTCTGGTTCTGGGGGAGACGCGTTGTCGGAGAGGGCAGTTATTTGTGAGGATGTATTTGTCCCTCTTGTCCCTCTCACGAGCTCAGTAGGTACCTGCTGGCTGGTCTTCACTGACGGCCACGAGCTGGGCTGCTGCCAGCTGCAAGGTCGCAGCAAACGTTGCACAGTTTCAGGAGAAGGAGGAAAAAAAAAAAAAAAAAGTCAGACACCAAATCTTCCCGTACAACCATCTGGCCAAAGCCAGGGGTGAAGGAATTCCCGGTGTGTGGGCGTTTCTGTGGTTCTCCTCCTCGTGTGAGCAGGGCACGCGCTGCGGTGTTCGGTGCCCCTCCACCTCCCTCCCGCGGGAGATGAAGCATTGTCCTGCTCTCCCTGGAGGTCTGATGCAGATGGAGGTTGCCCAGTCTCACAAGAGGCTGATGTTTCCGCTGACGTCTTGGCTCTACCTTCCTTCCACATCTCCTGCTCACTGTCTGGGCCACATCTCTGAGTTTTATAACTTACTGCCTCATTTCATTTTCTTATGTCTTCCCTTGGAAGAGCCTCCATCTCATAGCGCCCTAAAGCAACACTTCTTTCAGGTAGATAAAATAGTAAAAGCAAATAAAAGCTCCCTCTCAGCAGGCAGTAGACACATCAGCCCTAAAGTATCAAGCACAGCATGCCAAAGCAGCAACACCCGTGAGAAACTGCAGAAACCACAGCCCAAGTAATTTGCTCGTACAGGTTACACTGTGCAAGGTCAGCCGGACCATCCTTCGACAATGTTACGATGATTATTCATCAGCGATAAACCAAGTCAAAGGAGCTACAACCTGTGTGGCAATGCTGGAAGATCTGTTCCTGGATGCAAACTCTACCCAACAGTAGGTCCTCCTCACACACATCACCAGCGTGACTCTCCCAACAATTGCAAGAGTTAATTCACTGTTCTTCACATTTCCTCCCGCCTTTCTTCCAGTCCACATAAAGCTACAGGTTGGAGTTTCCACTGCTGAAGCTATAATATATGTATTCATCTGCATCTCTCTACAGCTTCAAAAACTAAACCCCAAATCTCTATCTGTGTAATGTCATCACTGTCCAAAGACAAACCAAATTGCAAGGGCAGTTTTCCCGTCTCCCTGCTGTGCAGGATCCTGGACAGCAATCCCAGAGACTGTTCGCAACTTTGCCAGCTCTAATTGCAATTTTCCCCCTCCATCCCTATCCTGCTGAGTTATTAACCTCTTTTTTTGGGTCTATTCTGTTTATTCCTGCCTTTCGGTTCCTACCAAAAACATCAGAAAAGTTTTGAACAAAAATTGGAGTTCATTTGCCTTCAAATCCAGCTTCTTTCCACTTGCCATTTAGAGAATTTTCTACGCGGTTTGGCCCTGGGAATCGTTAAATATATGTTACCCTCCTGATAATATGGGATGCAGTGAAGCACATGCAAACTTCTATCTAAGGAACCTGTAGGAGCTCTTGCAAGGGGGTTCGCTACCTCTCCTCAATAACAGTAAGCAAGAGTAATTAAACAATCGAACACAATTAGTGCACAAATTACTGCCAGAAATGTGGATGATCTAATCGCCTTGCTGCTAATTACAAAGCCTGTATTTCATTGAGCTAAAAGCCCACGTCCTGGGGAAGTGAAGGGGGGTACAATATGTTCCCTCTCACGCCATCCTCCCTCGGATGCAATTTCATCTTTAACAAGATGAGATTTCAAGATTATTTTGGAAGTCCCACATTGCTTCTATTTTCAACCTGTATTGTTTATATTTTCAGTCTGACTAGCGAAAGCTTAATTTTTCTTAGGACCTGTACAAACCCCTCATCTTTTAATGAGTTGTAGTAAAATGCCACTTGCATTCATGCATCCCCAGAGGACAGTTCGGCTTCAGATAAACACAGAGGACAGATGAAACAGGTATGTTTCACTCGAGTATTTCAGATACTTAGTATTTGGCATAAATGACAGAAGAAAAGTGAGCTTAAAATTCAGGCAGGCCATGATGTTCGTATGAGAAAACAGAATTTATGCAAATGAATTGTCAAACTGAGAAGGCAAGATATTCAAAGTTAGACATAATTCATTCCCATTTCACTCCACCATATATAACACACAGTGGTGCAGGGACACCACTAGTTTTTTTAAATTACACACAATATTCAAGACTGTGACTCGGAACACTTCTGAATTAGCAGCAAGGTGGACACGGATGAGCTAATAAATCATGTCAAGACCTATCCCCCGGGTTTTTGCATGGCACGCAATACAGGCAGCAGGGGCAGGGAGCCCTGAACTCAACGGGACGCGTAAGATCGGGATTCGGCTCAGTTTGGGAAGTTTGGAAGCCGGCGCTCGCCCCTCCCGCGTCCCACGGCACACGGGCTGACCTCAGTGCGCCGGGAGCCCCCAGACAGCCCGGCTCCACGCAGACGGAGGATAAGGAAACCATGCGTGAGCACAGAAATCCTGGGATTTTCCTTCTAATAAGAAGCAAAAAAAACATTCGTCGAGTTCCAGTGGCCGGGCCGCTCTGCAAAGGGGAAGGGGGGGGGGTTAAATTATTTCCTAAATAAACATTTAAGTTCACTGGGGCCACTGAGAGGGCTCCTCTCTCCGAGGCAGGGATGCTATCTGTGTGGACCACACATTGCATACGGCGCCTTCCTGCTCCTTGTGAAAGTCCCGTAGAAAAAGGAGGTGCAAGGCTCCGTGCAGCCGGCCCCAGGGCGCCCGGGGAAGGGGTTTTTCGGGGCAGGGAGGCTGCGACTGCCAGTCCAGGGTTGGCGGCCACACCACGGAACGGCGCGGGCGGCGGGCAGGGTGGTTGGTGCTCTCCAAGGGCAAAGCAAAACGAGGTCCTGAGCCTATGCAGTAAGTTAAATTTTGGTGAGGCTCCGTATGGCAACAGCAGTTGGGATCATCCTGGACCATCTTACCTATTTACATTTAACCCAATAAGCAAGAGCATTCCACTTAAAACACGGGGAAGCGCTGATGATACGACTGTGAATGCATCTGCTAGGAAAAAGGGAAAAATATTGCAACGTTACCAAATAAAGCGTAGCCAAAGAGTAAGAGATGCCAAAGAGATAAGTGAAATCAAACAAAACAGGAGAACGTATCCCATGCTTACGAAGAGATAGCTGGCAAATGATCTCATCTGCGACCAAGACATGAAATTCTTCAATAAAATAGTTTTCTAGTCTATGTACCAGGCTAGCAGGTATATATACACAGCAGTTTGAAAAGAATGAGGTGATCCCGCTGAGCTTTTAAGGTTACATTTTTATTAAGTCTAGAAAATCGGGACAGTCTAGAGACCAGGAAGATCATCAGCACAAACTCAGTATTTCTAAGGGATCAGAGGAATGACTGCCTAGCCTAAGGTCAGTCCTGGGTAAACTCACAGAACAGTCTATTTGTGCTACAGCAACAAACATTTCAAGTTGTAAAAAAAAATTGCAAGAGAGGGTTGGTAGGATTTTGTGGGAAAAGTTCTCCAAACAAACCCGCCGTTTTCGAATCGGCAGGATTATGGCTCTGGCTGTGAAAGGAGACTGTTACACGGAATAATTGGGGAGAGACCAAAGCAGAGAGCCAAAGCACCGAACCCTTCTGATTACAAAAATGAGTTCTATCCAATTAACCAAGCATGCTTGGGCCGAATTAAAAAAACAGCGTAGTGACATCTCAAAATCTAATTGGTGAAAAGAGCATCTTCAAATGAAAATACTTATTTTTTCCGCTTCCCTGCAAGGCTAGGTTCAGCATTTTTGTACCAAAAGTACTGACAACAAGAAACTTCTTGTATTAAACGCCGCAGAAGACGTTGAAGAGTGAGCCGAAACGCTTGTCCGTCATGCAACAAACTGTGCTTTAATAAAACCATACATCAATCTGCACCATTGTGTCCCCGCTCTGCTGATGCCTCCCCCCTCCGCTCTCCAGAGCGATTTGTGACAGTTCTTCTCGGACATCACCCCGCACATTTGACATGCTAGATTAGGCACCGAGTCACAGCCTGCTCGGCATCGACCCAAAGCGAGCTTTGTGGAAGTTCAGAGATCAGCCCCGAAAACACGGTATCGTGGAAATGAGATTTTTATTATCACGAACTAATTCAAAACTTGAGCTTTTCCCTCGCAGAAGGGAAACGAGACCTTTTTTACCAAAATCAGTGTAAACAGGACTGGGCCGTTACTACTCCTCGCGACGGGCGAGGTATTAATGAACCCCCTTGCTTTGCCCATTCACGCTGTAGTGCCATGGTTTTTCCCCAAACAATTTAACATATTTACGTAGTAGTTAATGAACACCAGGTGGTATTGTCCCGGCCCCCGACCCGCACAGATTAGGCTGCAGAAGGGCTCTGTTCCCCTGGCAGTTCACCCGGAGGTCACGCCATTTTTTTATTTCCCGACCCACGCGTGAATTCCCGTTGGCGCACGGCATCAAACATACCGGCAAGCCACGAAGGGAGGGGGCACTTTTGAGGACAACACGGCCGCTTTTGCTCATTTCCAAAGAGCACGTCTCAAACTGGGCTGCAGAAGATGCCGCACCGATGTCGGCAGTTAACCCTCGGGGAAATAATTGGGAATGGGCTGACCGTTCCCGGCTATACGCGTTCGGCACCTACATAAAAGTTTAATGAACAACGAGCCTCGCCTCGCACAACAATCCTTTAGATAAGTATCTCGTTCTCATTTTTCTCTTGATAGAAGAAAGTAGCTCATGTTTGTGTGTGTCCACATCTAGCCGAGTCAGAGGTGGCATCCAAAACCCGGTTTGTGCCTCAAAATAAAAAAGACCTTTCTCTTGCACTATTTTATTATTTGCGCTGCCTGGTACTGCCCTTTGCGCCACAAGGACTGTATGGAAATCTCTCTTTGCAGAAATTTCCATAATTAGTTACATTAAAAGAGCAAAATTAATCTGATTTTGTATTTTCTATCACGTGATACTGAAATTCAAATAATTTTCTCATAAAGTTTTACTCCAAGTTATTCCGCTGCCATCCCTCCAATTTTAATGCGTATTTTATTTGGTATAAACATTAGAAAAGCTACATATCATTAAAGGCATGTAAAAGAAACCCAAATTAGAACTGATCAATTAGTGCTCTTTTGAGCCGCCTAGTTAATCCGTGGAGTAAACAAACACCACCGCCATTAATTCGTTCAGATTTTCAATAGCTTTTCCAGAAAAACAAAACCCAGCATAACCCAAAACAAACAACCCCCCCATCTGCCTCGTAAGACTTTCAAGTGTTATTTGAATTCAATGGCCAATTAATTATTTGGCACTTGTCCTCCCAGAAAAAGCCATTTAATTCCTTTATTTTTCTAACTTGGTGGTGAAAAAAAAAAGCCAATGAAAAGAAAATTATTATCTCCACCACAATGGGAAGCTACAAAATGGCATCCTCATTTTAGCCACCACTCCCGTGACCCTTTCAAGCTTCCAACACCGCACCGATGGGTTTCAGCAGACGTTTCTGAGACGGAGACCTCGGTGTGCTCCCTGGTATTTATCCGCACGTACGTGGCCTGCAAAGCTGAGCAGCAGTGTATACGTATACCCGTGCCTTCCTACAGAAAGTTCTTTACCCTCTGCTCGTACAGAAAGCTCCTCTGCAGTCGTCGCCCCCTCTTGTTAACGCCGTTACAATTTACGGACGGACGAAATGCTCGCCCTGCAACCTGACCCGAACTGCGTCCGCCCAGAGCAGTGCAGCCTGCTGAGCCTTGGTGCACGCTAACCACTGAATGGCTGAATCAACGCTAGTTTTAATTCATCTTTCTGAAGCTAAAGCGATCTGAACCACTTTGCTGTTCGGAGTTCAGTTTGGAGGCAACTGCGTATAAAGTGAATTAACCGTAGGCCGAAAAATCCAGGACTAAAGCGGACCCGTATTCATTCCCCCTCCTACCAGTTCCTTTACACGTTTAATTTTTCATTTGGTTTTCATACAAGCTCTGCGCCCTCCCTGCATTTCACTTACAGCTAATCACTGTCAATCATTACTCCGTTTTACTGCGTACAAATCGCGTAAGCAAGTGCATGGGCACAATGCAATATTCTCATCAAAAATACCGTTGTTACACGACACAGTTAAACAGGAAAACATTCCCATGATCATTAATTGTCTGCTAACATGTCACAAAGCTACTGCATACATTTATATTTGGTCTTTTTTAATAACAGTAAATCAAATACTGCACAGAGGTAAACACTTGCGCTAGAATCACTGCAAGCACAAAACCAGGCTCTCATCCTCCTGGATTTCTCACAAAACCAGACCTGTTCATTTGTAAGCAATGTCAGAGAAGGATTTTTGTTGTTGTTGTTTTTGCTGTTGTTTTAGGTTTTTTTGTTTTGTTTTGTGGTTATTTTTTCCTTCCAGTTGTTACTTTAACCCACCAGAAATAATTACCTGGAGCTGATCGGTTGTTTACTGTGTCGGTTCGTGGTTAGCTTCAAATAACAACAGTGCACGGGGATAGAAAAAGTGAATCTCCCTGAAACTACGGTGCCTGGCTAGCTGGTGTTTTCCCAAAGTAACAAAATTTTATTCATACGTTCATTGCGTCTCATGGCAGAAATAATGCAAACGTGAATACAGCTACCTAAAAAAGGAAAGGGGGGCAGGAAGACCACCGGGGGCCTTCCAGGGAGACTCTGTGGGCTAGATCCTGAGAGTCATGGGACCACCACCCCGTGCCCAACGTAACAGGCAAACCCTGGTTCTGGCAATAAAACCAGAACAAACAAACATCAGGAGAGCGAAGCACACTAAAGCAAGAGCCTGGGAGCCAGGACGAAGGGCTGGACGTTGCCCGAGATCAGCAGAGAAAGGGAACAGGCGCTGAGGTGTGAAGAGACTGGGTCGTCCAGGATGGAGAGAAAACCACATTCACTGAACAATTTGACCACGTCTCTTTACGCTTCACCCCGTAAAAAAATGAGGAGAACGCAGAAGGCAGTGGGTCTGCTCTCCTGCCTCTGCGGCCCCGCTCGCAGGGAGGCACACCTGTACAAACAGGTATGGGTCTCGCCTGACTTGCTTCACTGGGGTAAACGGGAGCGTGCACCTCCACAGATCATTTCGCAGCTTGTCACACTGGGTCAGCACGTGTTGCTTGGCAACTTTACCGATCTGCGGTACGCGAATTAAAACACAACCCCTACTTGGTATTAGTTAGGCTTTAAGCTTCAAAAAATAATTTCTCCCTCCATCCTGGAACATCTCTGCAACGTAGGAGTTGTCACCCCTTCGGTCTTGCGCCTCTGATAAGCCTAGCTGGGGCAGGCTCCCGTGCAGGGTGGTCAGGCAGCCTCTGCGGGGTTTTGACATCCTCATCCCCCCCTTCGCCTTCAGCTGTAACCAGCCCCACACCCTGATGTCTTGTGCATTTGCCCTAACACCCTCGTTAACACCTTCCACCCACCACCTTTCCATGCACTGTCATCTCCGCCACTGTCCGTTTCATTCAGTGGAGATGCTTTAATGGCATTAGTTCACCAGATGGCATATATATATTCATCCCTGGAAGTATTTAAAAGACGGGTAGATGAGGCGCGTAGGGACATGGTTTAGTGGGCATGGGGGTGTTGGGTTGACGGTTGGACTCGATGATCTTGGAGGTCTCTTCCAACCTTAATGATTCTATGATTCTATGATTCTATATTATATATGATATTAAATAACGTATTCGACACCAGGAGCTGGGAGGTAAGGCAGACCTCCTCCTGCTCCATCTTCAATCTGCTCCATCAAACCTCTCACCTCCTGGAGATCAAGCTTCACTGCAGACTCTTCTGCTCCTTCGTTTATCTCTTCATCTGCCGTGCCTGTTGCTAGATCCAAATGCCTCATCATCTTGGCATTAGAAAGTCCACTTTCCCAAGGTACAGAGTGTTTATGGAGTATCATCAGTAATTCAAGTGTCTGCCAGCTAAGAGATGTTATCTCCAGCATAGCTGAAGAATACCTCAAAGTCATGCTCCAACTCATCTGCCTTAAATGCTCACCTACAGAACATCCTAAAAGCAGACGCAGTTTTCAAAGTGTGCCCCCCCCGATTTAACCAGTTGCTTAATTTTCACACATGAATCATCTGGCATTCCACAGGCCACGATATATAGCTTTCATTATGTCGCCGCTGACATTTTCACTGCTGGAAGACCACGATTTACTGGTTTTCATTAGACCCGATCTCCACTCTCAGTCCTACCCCCAACTTGTTGAGGAATCCATGCCTGATCAGTGAAATGTTGATCTGACTTGAAAATACACTGCTTTTCATCCACCAATTTCTCTAAAATTGACCTTTTCTGACAATTACTTCCAATGCTGACAGCAAGCACGTACCGCTATAAATAATGAGCCTGAGAGGACACCTCTTCCTCCGGCCTTGGGAGAAAACAGGCTTCCAGCAAAGACCCTCCACAATCACAGCCACAACACTGCTATGGTTTTACCACCACAAAGGAATATTTAAGACAAAACAGAACCATTTTCTTTAAAACATCTGAACTGAAACTTTGTACAGTTTTGCTTTCCAACTTAAGCACTAGGCCAATATCATTATATTTCATTATACTTCTTTCCTAGCAAAGACCTCCCTAAGCATTGAGAAACCGCCTCCAAAAGGCCAAAGGCTCCTTTGCATTAACGAAGCATTGCCCACGGGTCAGCACAGCCAGTACCGCTGTGCAAGATACGCAGCTGACAGCACAACCAGGCCAGCAAATGTGGCCCACACCACTGTTTGAAAAGAAAGACATAAAAAAACCACCCCAGACAATAAGCCAAGCACTAGGAAGAACTGCTTATTTGAAAGATTTTACAGATCACTGCAAATCTGAAAAAAGAAAAAAATTAAATCAGCCTAGAATAAAGTGTGATAGAAGTTTACTCCCTAAAGCCAACAGAGAGGCCAACTAGCAAATGGCCTGAAAATTCAAAAATCTTACTGCTCCGAAGGATACATGAGAACATGTGTGATGAGAGGAATTCCAGGTTGCTTTCTATGGCACTATTTTAGTTAATGTCTCTTTTATATGTCATTGAGACCTCACGAAAAATTAGATCAGGCCAAGGTTCTTATGGAGAATGATGGCCTTTCCAAGAATATTATAGATAAAACACAGATTACTCGACAACATCTATGATCGTCCCCACCATACTCACCAAGAGATACACATTTTGGCACTGAAAGACTGATTTAATTTCCATAATGTCTAGTTATGTCACAGGTCACTGGCTGTAAAACCATCTACGTGCTTAAATCCATGTTGGGTTCTAACTAAAGAAAAATGGCATTTCTGTTCTCTTTTTAAGTAAAACATGCACTAGCTGTCAATATCTCAAACTACCAATGCAAGAAAGACATTAAAAAAAAAAAGAACTATAAAAAGTGAGACTATATTATGGAGCAAACCAGCACTATAAACAGACAGCAAGATGATCCGGTAAAATTCCACACTGGGAAGTGCAATGGCAATCTATTACGTCCAGAGAAGAGCCCCCAGCCTCTGCGGCACTGCAGGGAAATTACAGCACCGGGGACCCTTCTGCAAGCACCGGGCACTGACCTTTTCCACCCAACTCATGAGTGAAGTCAACTCCGGTGATACTCAGAAACGAAGGCACGGCGTTAGCACACGCTAGCGTGTCATCGCTGGTTGCAATGGTTCTCTATTACAATCCCGGGCAGGGGCCACAGGAGCTAGAAGAAACAGTGCCAAGGCGGTGAGGCTCACCGTCGGCTGCCCGTTCACCTCAACGCCTGCCACCTCCAAATGGACCAGAGAACCATGACCAGAGAACCTTCCCCTTCAGTATCGTGAATCTTTTCATACAACTTTTGAGGAGTCATCCCACCCCCGCTCCCCTTTCTTATTTGTTTCCTTCTATTTTTCCCTACGAAAACCAATTCATTACCCATGATTCCTTTACTGGTAGATCCCATTTCCAGTAATTATTCTCCCTAAATAACTCAGTGGGGTTAAGAGTTCTGGGCTAAAAAATAAAATAAATAAAAATCAATGCTTATCTAGAGATGTCTCTCTCATGTATTTCTATATTTTCAATAAATGGCCAGTACCTGTGCAGCAAGTAAACTCCCTTTACGCTTACGTAAAGCATATAATTCAAGGTGTGTGTGTGTATATATATATACACACATACATATATATATGTACTGTTATGTCAACAGAAAGCTTTGCTCATGGATTCTGCGCTCCCTAATACACGGGGGCTACACCTACCCCCGCGGGTAAAGCGGGCCAAGAGAAGGCCAAGGGGTGGCCACTGATAGCGGTGCGTGGCCCTCCTTAGCCCCAGCATCACGCCCGGGCGTCCTCCGGGAGAGCCACGCAAGCAGGCGGCGGCTGAGACCGCGCCACGCAAGGATGCTGACGGCACGGGCGCTCGTGGGCACGCACAGCTCCCGCTCCAGCCCGGCATTTGCACGCAGGGATCACTGGGAGCAGCACACAAGCCGGAAAACGTGGGGTTATCTCGGTGATCGCACCCGCAACGCTCCTCTCAGTGGAAGTCTGCAGGGTTTCCTTCTGCATTGAAGTGTAAAGCATTGCTAACTCCAAAAACGGGTGGAAACCAGGACTTCCCACGAGAAGACACTTCGCCGGCTCCGTTTTCCTCCGGTACGCTGGGGCTGGATGCAACGACGTTCGGGTCAGCAGACAACCTTCCGCTGACCTCAGATACCTGCTCTGTAGGGCTTTTAACAGCGCCGCGGGGCGAGATGAGCATCCTCCCGCAAAGCCTGAGCGAAGGCTGGCGCCAGCTCAGCCGTGCTCCCACAGAGAGCCGCAGCACCCACCCGGACCCGGCACCTCCCACACCCACAGCAGCTTTACGCATAAGCTCGTAATTGCAGCCACGGCTCCGAGCACCACAATTACGAATACGTGATAAAAATGGTTTGCTCGCACCCCACTCGTCCAAGCGCGGGAGCCAAAGCCGTGCCGTCGGCTCTGGCACCGAGAAATCACCAGGCTCTCACCCACCTCAGCCAGGTCCCTCGTGGGCAGCGTACAAAACCCCTCACAATACAACAAGCGCTTTTAAAAATACACCTTTCTGCGGAGAAGGGACGGGTAACCGAAGAAATCGAGGCCTGCCGAGATGCGGCAGGGTAAGGCGTGCCGTAACCAAGCCTCCTGAACCGGGGGAGCAGTCTCTCTCTGAACTCCTTTATAAAGTTATACAGCAGTGTGAGAAGCATCAGGAATTAATTAGAAAACAGGTTTCCAGGTCCGATCAGGTGTCTGCTCTTTCTGCTACAGCTTTGTTTACAAGGAAGACGGGCACCAGAGCCGACTCCTCCAGAACAAGCTGACACCTATTGCCCTATGTACGCTCCTGAGGAGGGAAAAGAAAGAAAAAAAAGCATTGCTCAAGATAAAAATGTTAGAGAAACAAAAGAAAAAAAATACTAGACAGAAGTTTGTAGAGTCTGCTCTTATATTTACTCTCTGTGCACATCCATGGCTTCTCCCCTATGCAATAAAACTAACAGGAAAGCAAAAAAAGGTCTCACCCCTCCACAAGTGATTTGTTTCCTCCAGACTCGCCCACTATAAAAACCTGAAGCTTTGCACACCGTAGCCATGAAAATTATTCACCTGAGAAAACAGAATAATCAGTGGTTTAAGTCTTTGCTTTACATTCTTTCAGCTAAAAATAAAATAAAATAAAATGAAATAAAATAGAATAAAGTAAAATAAAATAAAATCAGCTTTACACCAGAAACAGAGTAGCTGCAACTCTTGCAAGCTAAACCGCCACATGTTCTTATCTGCCAGCGTAGATTTATTATTTTTTTAGTGTAACTGGAAACACGTGCAATCCTCATGATTACAATTCTGCAATAAATCGGCCGACCCAGGCCAAAGCGGAGGCACCGCACCGGGAGATCAGGTGAATTGGGGCAGGCACCCACCCCCAGCGCACAAAGCCCGTAACTTCGCCCCCTGTGCTTGCTTGTACTCTGGGATCCAGATCATTGCGACAGTCCAGAAAATTTTGCCTTTCTTCTCGAAGCGGAAGAGAAGAAATAAAAAATGTGCCATACAACCGTCTCTTGTTATGACAGACTTGCAGAGATATTTCAGTTTTTGATTTAGTATCAGGGGGGTTGGTTTCCATGAAGCTCCAAGCCATGCTGCTGTGCCAGAGAGATGATGTCATGTAACTAAATTTCTGATTCCCCGCCAGTTTGAGCAGTAATATTAAACGAAGCCAAAATGAGCTTCCTGTGCTAAACTGGAAACAAAAGAGCACTTTTACAACGCTGCCCTCAGGGTTGATAGAAATATATATGTCCAACTCCAGGCACAGTTACCATCTTATCACACTATCGGCTTCTACATGAATAGAACAAAATACAGCGTGGGCTTTTACATAATGCGGCTATGTTTAAGTCAGCGCAGACAGGCGCAGAGAGACCTCAAAACGGCGGCGGGCAGCGAACCGCCAGCGCGGATCTGCCCACCGCAGGAACATTCCTGCCCCGCCGCTCGTTTCCCAGATGTGGAGCACGTGGCATGGGGCAGAAGACATAACCTCAAACCCCAGCTGGAGACAGAGGAGTCACTCTTTGGTTTGAACGAGGAGAAATCATTTGGACTTTAATTTAACGCCACTGCCAACCAGTCCTGATAGCTGTAGGCACCCGGGAGTTTTAACCACAATTAAGCCAAGAGTATGATTACGGGTCAGATTTGGAGAGAATCCGCAAAGGAGATGCTACAATTCACACCAAGGCCAACGGCTGCTTAACTTGAACAGTGTTTTACCTGCACAAACGCACTCTGTTATCGCCCAACTGTTCCCGAGCATCGGCCGTG